TTGCGTCGTTGTATTGGCACGCCCACAATTCGAATCATTTCATTATCTTGCAAGATGCGGGTAAAACACTGTTTTCAAAACGACACGCATTGGTTACTATATATTAACAGGTTATTTGTTGCATATGCATTCAAAGTGTTATTTTAAAATGTTATAACCATCTGAGTCCACCTGACATAGCGTAATTTACAAAACAACTCCCGAGTGTTGAGTAACCCCAGGTATTAATGAACTCGTCGTTGGCGGGAAGGCTCAAAGTAAAGTTTCTTAGCGGGACGCGCTGCAGTTTCGCGACAGTTTTGGGCCAAACTAAAAGTTGTTTTTACATTACTGGTGCTGTATGTCAGGGATACACAGACGGAAAACTTGATTATAATGGTTTGATGGATTTTGTCAAATCAAAAGTGCCTTCCTTGATCGAATCACTTTTTCAACTGCAGTTTGAAAATGACGGGGTATAACGACCGTTATTATGTCTAGTCCATTTTTGTAACAGGTACAACTGACTAAAATGAGCGAGGGATTGACATTTTTCGACAGATTTAAGCAACATCCAACTTGTGATTTTCAAAATTACTGAAAATAATTACAATACAATTATAAAAAATAAAGAATGGTTGCCGTGAACGCACGCTAGATAATACTTACAATTCACCAAGCCGACAACCCCTATGAAATAGTAATCCCAAACCACGCGCCCGTCACTCAAGTGGCGCTGACAAGTCTAGATTGGGCAAAGACCAAAGTGTTTTGCAAAGTTGCAAGTCATTTTGCTAACTGACTGTCCGAATAATTCTCCGAACGGCTGTAATTTGAGTTTTTAGTGTGATAATAACTGTACGGGTTCTACATTTAAAAACTGGCTGGAGGATTTTGTGGGTAAAAAAATACACAACTAAAATTGCCATCCATATTTCAATAAATGTATGTGCAAAACAATTTCCACAGATTTCAAATAGGAAACTCTATATGAATACAATAACTAATGAGTTAATTTATGAAGTATGTCTGAATACAAAATAAATTACTAGTGACGTGAACCTGTTTCCATGGTAATATTGTTATTTCCCATTCCTCAAATACACAAAGGTGAATAATAGCAAATAAACAAAAATGCAGAATATATGGACAAAAGTTGTCATAAAATACTGTAATCAAAAAGTTTCTTCAGCTGACTAATGTATATTCGACACAGGAACTGTAAAATAAATGTTGCTATGTCAATGACAGTGCTCATTACAGTCGTTGATTGGCTGGTTGTTTCAACTGCCATTGAAATTGATAAAGATGGAGGGAATAGGTTTATTGTGCTAAGTGCTTAATCTTGATTTCACTGATTAAATATTGCAGTTAATTATCTTTCACTTCGGGCCTCGAGTAAGTACAACAAAATTGCCCCAGGTGTGGACTAATTATAGATAAAATCGTTGTCTTACTGCTCAAATTTAATGTAGAATAACTGTCATCATGGAACTATAACCATGCTGTCATAAACATTCATTTGAGTACATTTGTTTTTTTGTGAGAATATCCAGGCTTTGTTTTAAATGAGAGAAGTTGACACTGTTATTTAGTGGCGCTATAACATATTACACAGTTAAAAATGAAATAAACACAATGTTTACCGTTATTGACGGTATTGCACAAACAACATAGAAGACAACTTCTTCCAACATAGCCGGGCAAAAACGAAAGTACTAGTATTTAACTTTGTTGGCAGTGAGAAATTTGCAGTACCGCCTACGTTCAAAACAAAAAAATTTTTTTTTTTTTACAATCGTTCACGTTATTGCAACGGCGCTTTCAGAGTTTAATGTAAATTGGTAGTGAGTGTTTTTTTTTTTTTTTTTTTTTTTAGACTTCCGTAAGTCATTTTTGTCTTTGTAGTTTTAAGAATTTTTAACGGCGGAGTACCGCAGACGACAGTGAATCTCAACTCTGCGTGCACAGTTTATACGGCCTTTAGGGACCAAGTGCCGTGCCCATGACGTAAAGCTGCCAATTTTTCTAATACCTCAAACCCGAGAGGGGCATTTACACGCATGCTGCAACACAAGCATGCGTATTTTTAAGTGGTTTGCGTCTACGCACACACGACATTTAGTGTTATTAGAATCGTAATCGTAAAATAATGGTATACTAGTATATTTTTATCCAAATGATAACGCAAAAGATGCTTATTTTTCAATTTCCATTTCTTAATTTCTTTAGTGAATCGCCAGTTTGAAACTGGAGGGCTCCCATAGTTACTAGTAAGGTATATGCGCCACTGTTTTGATCCATATTTTCACGTTCAAACTGATTTTATTAACCCCCAAATTTAAGGTTTTCGGTCATTTTGGAGAAATTGAGGTCATTGGTGAAGAAAGCCAATTCGGGGGGCCAAAAACCTCCATCAACGTCTTTTGGGGCATAGTACTGAACTGGCTGCGAAACAATCTCACCCCCCCCCCGATTCCATCATACATGACGTTCAGAATTGTGGGGAATCTCCTCTCTAAGAGGGTTTGCTTTTGAATTTTTTTCTAATTTTTTTTTTGAAAAACCAACGCTCCAATTCGAGTACCCCTCCCCCTTCCGGGACCTCAACAGGGTTACAAATATTGTAGAGCAAATACAGACAATATATTCTATGTGACGATGTTAGTCATTAAAGTGCTAGTCAGCAGTATGTGAACGTTTTTGGTTTTCTGTCATTCTGTCATCATTTTAGCATCAATTTCTATAATTTCAATAAAACGGTACTAAGATAATTTTAATACTTCTATACCTGAAGTACCTCAAAAGAAAATATATTATTTTTCGTTCTGAGACAGTGTGATATATTATTGCCATAAGAAATAATGGTGACATGTCTTGACCCTTGACCTTTACTTCCAACATTTTTGTGCAACATATCCCCTATTTTTAAGTATTTTCTATAATTTTGTTTTGATGATTTTGGACCAAATAAACATAAGTTTGTATTACTACAATTCTTGATCACAATTTTGAAACAAATCTATCAAAAATGTAACATTTTATTGTGTTAATGGTGATGAAAATTGACTTTCGAAGGATTAACAGACTGAAACAAATAATGCTATTCTCACATTTTGTGTATCAATTTTGAGTATGGTTTTATTTAATTGTTTCTCCATCCTGTCATGAAATGTCATGTAGTAAAAAAAGAAAATCAAATTATTTTTTTTATTCTTGAGTAGCACTGTGCGTCTCTAAATTACCACCAAAATAAAAATAACATGTCCATTGTCAAAAATGTCTAAAAATATCTGTGCATGATTGTGTGATTCTCCATTGATTCAGTGGTTATTGGCAGTGGCGTAATTCACTGCGGAAAGAAAATTTACGTTAATATGTTTTACAGAAATATTGCCAACTTACATACAATGTAGGTGATTTTATGCAGGGCGTTAGTGACGTCAAAATCACGCCCAAATGCGACACCTGCATAATGCAGGTGATTTGGTGGGTATGTGGAGGCTGTTACATGACAACAGCTCATAATTTCAATACAGAGACGCAGTGGCTGTATTGATAATATTAATATCATTGCGTACAAATGATATTACGTGCCACACTCAACAATATCATGATTTTCTAATACTTCAACTTTTATATGAAAATAAAAGCTAGAATGGCACAAAAATGCCAAAGTAACCATCTGGGGTAATGCGAGTATGTGATTTGTTTAGGGTGGGAATTGTGCATATGTATTACAACCCAATTTGCATAAATTATAAATTTTGTTGAAACTGTATCTCAATAATCAATTTAAACTTGTGACATTCTAGATTGCCCTGGGATTAACAAACAGCTGAAGTACGTGTACAATCAAAATTATCTCTTTTGTTTTATTATTTTCTAGATATGTCGATACTGCTTTCACATAATTGTGTACATGTATGTTAAACCTAAAGTCTTTTTTATTCTTAAATACAAATTTATGTAATCAATTGTAAACATTGCATTTTAGCTAATGGATTACATTCCGTCTGTCACAACAATTGTGTTCTAGCACATCAACAAAAGTTTATTTTTGTTACAATCTAATTCAAGATGGTCGCTTGGAAGCCATTTTGTTTTTGATGAAAATCAGCAATTCTGCTTAAATATCCTTAATTCTCACTGTCTGGTTCAGATTCGAACTTATTGCACAGACAATTGCATTTCAGTACATCAGTGAAAGTTAATCTGCGTCATGATCCTGTCTGAAATGGTTGACTGGCAAATTGAAACCATGAGTTTTCATCTATTTTTTCCTCAATTCTGCTTTACCCAGTATATCTCAAATTTTAATTACCCAGGTAGGTTCAAACTTGGTACACAGGCAAATGTGTTTTGGCGTATCAAAGAAATTTGAAGTGTGTCACAATTCAAATATGGTCGCCTGGCAACCATTTTTTAAATGCACAAAAATGCACCTTTTTTTAGACATGCATAGGCTTATTTGTTTTAAACTTGGTATGATGCTATTTATATATTGGATGTCTGATGTATTTCCTGTTTTTTTTTTTTGCATTTTGACCTGTTAAAAGCCGCTTCGATATTAAACAAATAGGTACTTACAGGTAGTCTTCGCTCAAAACTTGTTCATTTTGTGATTATATCATTTTTACACATATGATTTTCTCACATAACTGTATAATATTACCCATTGGGGACTTTCCTCAGTTTGTTATACATTAATATTATGTTGGAGAGCACTCAGGTATATATTGAGGTACTAGTCTGAATGAGGCAATTACCAGAATTGCATGGTTGGCTAACTTAGTCAGGAAATACATGCCCATGTGATTGCCTTAGACTGATTTAGCAGTCTCTCTGTTTGTACTGTTCCCTATTTCTGTACGTTTACCCAGGTATACCTGATTATTAAATATTCAACGTGAACATTATGACAAATAGTACGTTCAATTGTACAAAAAGTCCTACGGTGTGTCAAATTGTTACATAGAGTAAGTTATCTTGTTATATGATAGAGTCCCATGGCCTTGATCTGAAGTTTGCGTTACTTTCAGGAATATTGCATATTTTCACGAGCGAAACATGTGTTTATTTTATTCACTTGCTAATATTTACAGGTATGCACGCGCTCACACAACTTAAAAAGCGATGATCGTCGCGCCAAGTCTTGTTTAAGATGGGTCTCATAGCAATGTATACAACGCGTGTAAAATACATTTGTTTACGTGAATTTCGTAAACATACACTGCACGATGATCATCATTCTCTAAATGCAGACTGAGAAATGCAGCAAACAGAGCACAATTCAAGAGCTTTTCAAAATGAAAGCAACACACTATAATACACCCGTCATCGCATGTGACATGGTGATCTGACCTTCTTTAATTGTATTCTAACATTGACACAAGAGGGACTGTGATTGACATCACAGACTTAATTGTGCATTTCAAAGACAATGAACATTGACATCCAAAGTTTGGCTAATATGATTTGCATGTAAATACAGGCTATTTTATTACCCAAATATGTATTTAATTATTTATTTTTTCATATACTTTATTTTATTTTAATTTATTATTTATTTGCTAGTAGTTTTATTTAAAGGGCGGTGATCGTCGCACGGCGTCCTGTTCGATATTGGACTCATAGCGACGTATACAACGTGTGTGAAATACATTGTTTATTTCACAGTCCCTCTAGTCTATCCCGGTCTACATTGGGATAGAGGGACTATGTTTATTTACATGAGATTCGAACTCGCGCTGCGCGACGAGCATTAACCTTTAAGTTTTGGTCATCACGAAAGTATAAACGTACATAATCAAAAACAACAAAATATTTACAAAATAATAAAAATATTGTACTAATTAAATAAGTACACGTCATACAGTACATCAGATTGTAATCAGATTGGGCTTTTAGTCAGAATGTTTTTGTAATTCGGTTTACAGGCAGGACAACCGGTGAAGTTAATTGTGATAGCGCCCTCTTCCGACTGACAGATCATGAATTACATTACATATATTCTCGCCAAAATGTACCACTGTTATCACGAATTTTAAAGAATAAAAAAAAAAATTGAGAAAAAAGTTGTTTTATATAACGGAGATAATTCTTGAATAAACTCTGCCTGGTTCAAGAAACATTAGCACAAAACAACGGTTACTAGTAACCGTGCACAAACCTGGGAAGTAGCGATCGGCAGGAATGTACCATTCTCTCATTGGGGACTAAGGTATAGTCGTACGATGGAATAAGGCGTGTCCGTGCTAGACTGTGGTACCATAAAACCCGTGTGTAGTTGAATTAGTTTTAAGTCAACGTATACGTTGATGGCTCTGCGGTCCGGAAACACAGCATTTAACGATTTCTACAAGAGTCATACTCCGAATATCTTCCGTCCCCTCTCCTTGAACGCGCATTGTTCCATCCGGCCAATCTTTACTTGACCTTCTTTGATCCTGGGAACTTGGGAGAGTGCTGAAGGTGTGGATCGATCGTACTGTGTGTGTCTTTGAGTGAGTCGACCGTGAACGGGATTGTCATCAGTTAGTTTTATGTTTGCGATTATTTGACGAAGGCAGTCTCTCTCTCAGGAAAACAAGGTATGTATTGAAATTCAATATAAAACGAGTAGTAATTGTGCCGACTCGTGTTAGTGTACTGCGGTATGAAAAATGTCTTGCCTGTAAAGTAGACATTCGATGGCGCTCCAATTAAAGTTAGAGTTCATGTTATTTTGTCAGCACTGAATTTGTCTTGAAAGTGTTGCCTTGTTCAACAAAGTATGCAGACTGATTTTGTTGACCCTTGGGTCCGTTGAATGGAGACAGATAAAACTTTAAATTAGCATTGTTGTGACCCACTGTCTGAGTCTCCCACGCTAACCGCAAGAAACTCCAGACCGTACGTGTATAACAACACACTCAGTGATTTGCCTTTATTTTCATATTCAACAGACTCGGAAGGAAGTCGTCTCAGGAGTAGAGTTGTTTGGCTAGCAATTTCTGTGTCATCACGTAGTTTGTCCAGACTTCATCCAAGTTCCGTAACGCTATCGGTGTCGTCAGTTTTATCTACCCGTACTCCGCTGTCATCAAGGACCACCCATGTTTGGATAGCATTCGCTCCAATTAACAGGAATTATAAATTAAAGTTCAGCTAATATTTTTTGGAATTGATTTGTATGCTACAGAAAATGGCGTGGTGCTACTTTTTATGCCTTTTAGCCTGTTATGGTGAGTGTCTAATTTTTTATTTAGCTGTTTGATTTACTAGACTTGTCTGCAAAATAGCGTTTTATTGAGAAGGGAAGAGTTTAGACGTGATATGCCTTGATGTGCCAGACAGTTTATGCTTCCTTCGGTGCCACTAATTCCAAACTATTGCTACATTCAGTAGCCATGTTTGACAGAAACAACAACAGTTCAGATTTATTTATTATGACCCCCTAGTTGAAAGAATTTATGCTGTAGTAGATAATATGCAAGTTTTACCCTCTTCATTTACAACCAACAGTGCTAGGTCATTTTGATCTATTTGGGTCATACTAAGTCAAGCATCAGGATTTTTTGTGAAAATATATAGCGGTAATCAGACTGTGCTGTTAAATCAAGTGAAAGGGGACCAAAGCAATTTAACTGCATACTGTTCTTATAGTGGATTGAATTTCACTGCACTGTGTAGTTTTCTTAATTGCCTAGTAGTACTGCAAGTATGGCCCAACACTTTCCAGGATAACAAGGCCGTAGGAAGCAAAAATTAGTTGGTCCGGCCATCCATCGATGGACCACGTCTGCTAGAGGGGACAGCAGACGTGTATGGCTGGTATGGTTCCTACGGCCTTGGATAATGCTCTGGATACTCAGTTTTACTGTGATGTGGTTGTAAACTTTTGCACATTTTTACACAAATAGATAGTGAACTGACTGCTAAATAGTACAGGTTTTTTACAATTAAAAAACAAATTTCCTCACGGAGTTGCAAGAGGGATGTTCTTATCTGAATCAACACATCCACACATACTTGTTCAGGTTCATTCATCAGAATGTGTTGTTAGGTAAGACAAGACTAACTTTGATAAAAGCAGTCCTGAGCTGATATAAAAGTACTTGTCCATTTTGATGGGTCAATGGGTCAGTTTATGAAGTACTGCACCATTTACTGGAGATGACAAGCAGTTGCTTTGGTATAAAACTAAGCGCTTCATTCAAGTTGATGGAAGTACAATATAATTGAGTAACCTATTGCACTTTAACTGAGAGGTCACTCTGTGCTGCCTGTCATAATACTGTAATGTGTTATATCAAACACTATTGTTGCAATGTACACTTGGTTTCCATAACAACCACTAGAGAATATCCAAATTTCATTACTTTTTGTGTATTTTTGCCTTGTCTGTGTGTATGCACTATCCAAGGCTGATTTCTGCTAGGCCTATGACCTTGGCAGAATTAAAATGTTAACCATAGCTGCTGAGTGAGAAATATTGTTACTTGCCAGGAAATGCAGAGTTGTAATGTCAGAAATCCTTGTTATATACCAACGAATAGTTTTGTTAGCCTTAGAATGGGAAATGAAGGAAACCTGCAGTACAGGGCATACAAATGATGGTATATTAGATGGCTGAATAGTTTCCTTTCTAACACTTCCTATAAAGACGCATTGCATTTCTTGATAAATTGGGAGCAACAATAGGGTAGAAATAGTTCTCCAACTGGAGTTTCATTTTATGTGTAATGCAAGATGTGTGTCAATTGGATACGACAAAGGCTACCCTGTAATGGCCCCATACGGTTAATATACTGGATAGGGATAGTTGGCATGTGTGCCCCACACCATTAGACTTCTCTTTTACAACAAGATTGCTAGGAATTTGCACTTTGTGTCCTCAAATTTTAAATTGATAAAATTTATCAAGACTTGATAACAGTAATTTGGATGGTTACATTTCAAAGTGGAATTTCAGACAGATTTAAAAATCATGCCCTTTACTGTTTCTGACGACCTTACTAATGAAATCTTTTATCATGTGCGATATATACCACCATCTTAAGATTCTGCAACTCTTTCATTCTTTGCATCCTTCATATGACTGTGTATATGCAGCCATGTGTGGTGGTGAGTAATGAGCTAGCTGGAGATTGAGTTAAATTATAACATATATGCTGTGTTTGTTTAGTTCTTCCACTGTCCTGACATGAGGTCTCACTATGTTTGAAAATAGTGAAAATAAATAGGCAAGTTCACACCAGTTATATTGGTCCTGAAATTGAATTGACTTTTCCTGCATCCCATCTCCTTGTTATAATCTGATTGGAGTACGCCGTACTGTGTGGGCCTGATCACTCACACACAAAGTTCAAGAATTTAAAATACCATCTGTTTTTAATTTTTTTTTCTAGGCAATTTTTAATTATTCCCCTCTTCCCAAAATGATTTTGTAAAGTGAAAATGTTTTAAAATGTTCAGTGTATGGTAGAGTTCTTGACCTCCCATGTCGTCTTGTGATGTTAGTTATGGACAGTTTATTTAGGTCACCTTTAGATGTAATTACTTCAGCACATGGTGTGATGAAGGATTTGAGATAATTGTAATCCACAATAATTTCTCCATCTATGCTGTGTAACATTACCTCTTGTACTTGTGGTCTATCTAAACCGACAGTCAAACTGAAAAGAAACATCTTGTATACCGTGTTTATATTCATTTGGCTGGCATCTGCTGTACAATTATTGTTAGAATATCAAACAGTATAAATATATATGAAATGATTAAATGTTTCATCTGATTATCATTGTATATCATCCTTATGATAGTTTTCACTGTATTACTGTAATAACATTGTTAATTAAAGCTGCATTTCAAAGAGAGCTGAAGGGAAACAAACTTTTACAATTTTTATCTCAAAATACATGTAGTTAGCAAAACTTGTAACAAACTCTGGAAAATTCAAAACAAGTTCAAAACAAGTATAAAATCACATTTGTCGAAAGTGGAAAACAGTTTTTAAGACACAGAATGGATTGATCAAATTAATAAAGACACATTAGAAATAAAAAACAATATTATGAATATATGAAAAAGTTAGTCAAGTTAATGGCAATAATATATCACAAATTTTAAAATGCTATCAAAATAATGAGAATCTCCAACCATAGTTTTTTTATTGAAAAGTATCACCAAAACAAATACTCCAAGCTATCAGCATCCCTGACAATTTAAATTAATGAAGAACAATTTCTAAAAAAAATTGTAGATAAAAAAAAATTGTTTTCCAGTGTTAGAAAAATTAAATAATAAATGTAAATTTATTTATTTGCTTGATGTTTTTCATAAGAAATTCTCACAATTGGTTTTTCAAATTTTATTCACTTTATTATGAACAGTATTATATGTACTGTGCTAGCATGTTTCCTTCATTTGATGATACCTAGCGTATGATCAGTATACTGGAGTCTTCATAGCGTCATGCTTTACTCTGATTGGAAGTGAAATAAAAATAAAAAAAAATGAAAAAGTAGTGGTGGCAAATAAATCTATATAGAAGTGGGCTGGTCTATAATTTATATGATTTTAAGTTATTTTGTGATTACAAAATATTTTTAAATAGTAACTTGTTGAGAATAGACTTGTGAACTGTGAGGTAATTGTACATGTGCACACCATTTGCTCTATTAGGAATGCATAGAGGGGTTTTATGGTTAATATTAGAAAGTTTTTCAATAATTCCGTATACAACAAATTGGATTTTTAGTTATATAAGCGTCTAATTGAGCAAGAACAGTAGTTGATCCTTATTGTTAACGCTGTGATTGGAATTTCTCCATCTTAGTAAAAGCTATTGAGCTGAGCTGTCCTGCTGCTCTGAGTTGATATCTATGACTCTCTCAGTGTGTCTTAGTCTGATATGCTATTATCACTTTATTTCTGGGTGTGATTTCTTCTCATAAATTCCATGGATGCTGTTGCCATGGATATATAGTTACCTTGACCTAGGATGGGTGTGACCTTCTAATGAGCTCCCATGGTGTTTTATCAATGGTCTATCACATATCCTTTGATTTACCTTGAATACATACCAAGCTGCATTGATAAACACAATTACTATATGAAGCAAATAATGGGCAAACTTTTGAGGAGTCTAGCCTGCCCCCCCCCCCCCCTCCTCTCCAAAGTACTGTAAGTGACTAAACATAAGTCAAATGTTTCCTTGCATTGTTTGTAGACACATTTGCTGGTAATGTTATCCTATTTTTAGTTACATGGTAGTACTCCTCCCAGGTTAGTTTTTGGCCAGATAGGATAACTTTATTTCACTTACATTGTTTATTGTTTAGTATTATACTATGACCACCATAGAAGATGGTAATATTTGTGTGCTGACTTTGGGCTATGTTGGTGTACATTTGATATACGAGATATTGATTTTGTTTTATGTTACCTACAATCTGTTACACTGTATCTGCAACATGGTTTTGTTTACACTAACTTTATTTGGGTTTAAAGCTCTAACTTTAAAGCGAGAGGGTCGTCATCTGCGCACGCACAGGAATTGAGGCCAAGTGACGATAACAACCCGCGCTAAAAACGCAAAGGCTCAGGGGTAGACGCTTGTTTGTAAACAATGACATGATATGGCCAATCAGACGCATACGCAGGTGACGACTCCCTCGCTTTAAATAAAACTTGTTTATGTTATTAGATAATTTCCCAGATCAGTGATTGCTACTATTTACCAAAGATTGGTTGAATAAATTCATGCAGTGTTTTCCCTGTTAGCATGGTTAGTTTTATCATGCTTCCTGACTGAATTATTGGAAACGATACCATGTAGGGAAGACTAAGAAATAACGCTGCGATGTCATTTGTCTTTGAAAACTAATGACTGGTATAAATACAAAACTACATTTAGTTCTCTGGTTGCTTTTAAACGACCAATCAGAACTCTTAATGTTAATAAAAGTGTCATGTGATCTCAAAATTTGCAAAAGAATTGTTTTAGGCAAAACAGGGGTAGAAATTATAAATTTGGGTAAGCATTATCTTTAAATTGATCAAAGTCCTCGTGTATGTCCGATTAAGTGTTAAGTAATGAAACCCTACATATGCATGGCAGCTGCCATTTTACTCCCATAATGCACCATACCTAAAGTTATTACCAGTATGTGTAAAACAAAAGAATGAAAAAGTTACAATCCTGACATTTTGGTCATGCTTGAATGGACATCCTTGAACT